GGGTGACAAGTTCACAGAGTGCATTGCCTTGCGGATGCTGCATTGTAGTCCTGAGTTTTGGCCAAAGCTGCTAGAAAGAATATGTATAAATCCCAGGAATACAGTAAATCTGTGCTGAGGACTTTGTTTCCTTCTGATGAATTAATAAAACTACTACTTTGATTTCAGTTAACATAAATCATAGCTATCTGGTGAGATTTCAGGCCTCTGACCCCTGTATGGATCAGAAGCATGTTTTGACACATTTAGGAAATAATTGGAGCTTTTTCCTGCCCTTCTGCAAGTTAAAATTAGGGAGTTTAAATTATTTAAACTGGGAGAGTCTCATACACTGTGTAGTAAGGAATTTCCACTTTTCATCTTGTAATCTATATTGCATTACTCTTAAAAGTCACATGACTTAATTCACTATCATAAACAGACACTATATACTTCTGTTTGGGTCCTTATAAACCCGGACACTTTATTTTAATAATATCAATTCACCAACTTCAGCAAATATTAGTGACCTACAGAGAGCTGTCTTTCCTCACCACTCTACACCAGTGTTAAACAGCTCATCTTTTGAGGAATTATGTATATTTGTGGGGTTTTTTGTTTCCCCAAATATATGAATGAAACTGCCACATGATCTAAATAACTACATTGGCTGTTAGCACTGAAATTATATCAAACAATTTTGAATGTCTAATAAAATTCATCCACAAATTGAGCAAAGATCTAAACTTCTGTCAGAGTCTGCAGAAATTAGTTTAGTCAGAAAATGTTAAAATATCACTTAATTTATCTGGTTTTATCAAACCATATTTTTGTCACATCTGTTTGCAGCATGTGAATGGCTTATATAAAATTTTAAAAAGAAAAACACAAGGTGACCAGTAAGATAATTATTCTTACCAAGCACTTTARTAAAGTAATCTCATTCTACTAAATCCGTATTTTTCTTTTTGGCAATAGAGTTTTAAGTTTTACATGCGGATACTACACAAATCCMCAAGCAATATTTGAAAGGTCCAGCTGGCTTGAGGACAAGGAGTAATTCTCTAATCTTTATTACAAATCAAAAGGCCAATAAAATTAATTACACTTACATTTACCATAGCAGTTGCGACAATTTCATCACGGCAAGCATATACACACTGAAATACTGCCATCTTTATCACTGTCACAAGTGCAAGGATGCCAGAGGATTTACACTGGGGGAAAAATTTACACTGGGGGAAAACATCAGCCAAATCCCTCACTACATGGGTAGATTTTAGCATATGTGACTGATTCTTATGCACACAAAAAAAAAAGGATAGTGAATTATTGTAATAGATTTGCTTGATAGACTTGATAGGTTTAATTTGGTATGACTCTGTCCTGGTTTTTGCTAGGATGGACTTAATTTTCTTCACAGTGCCTGGTGTGGGGCTCAGTTTTGGATTTGTGCAGAACACAGAGCTGGTAATATACAGATATTTTTGTTATTGCTCAGCAGGGCTTACAGAGAATCGAGGCCTTTGATTCTGCTTCTCCCACTGCCATGTTGGCAAGGGAGATGGGAGTGAATGAGAGACACAGACAGGACAGGTACCCCAAATGGCCAAGGGAAAATTCCAGACCATATGGCATCATGTCCAGCTTAKAACACATGGAGGARAAGGAGGAAARGAACYTTTGGAGTGATGGTGTTTGTCTTCYCAMGTRACCATTACACRTGCTGAGGCCCTGCTCTCCTGGSRATGGCTGAAGACCTGCCTGCCCATGGAGCTGTGAATTAATTYCRTGYTTTGCTTTGCTGATGCAYATGGCTTTTGCTTTCCCRGTAAACTGTCTCTATCTCAYGAGTTTTCTAGYTCTTGAWCTCCCAGTTCTCTCCCTGATCCCARGGGAGTGAGTGAGMAGCTGTGTGGGGCTTGGCTCCTGGCTGGGGTTAAACCACAACAKCCTCCTATGACATTGCTTAATGTCTTATAGCATGGAGTGCATACAAAGTGTACAGAGGTGAATAAAGATGCTGGTGAATTGTCATTTTTAGGCATTCTTGACTGTGTGTTATCCCTGCACTTGATTGTTAGTGATGTACTTTAAATTTTTTAAATTTATTTATTAGTGCTTTTGCCTGTTTCCTATGCTTACTAGATTTGTTATGATTGAAAAAGAAATGCCAGACTTGTGAAGGTTTGTTGCGGGAAGATCGATAATGAAAATACCACTCACAGAATTGTGTCTGTGGCTTCTCTTGCTGCAGCAGTTTTATTTTGGGGTTTTATTTTTCAGTGCAGTTAAATGTTGAGGAATATTTCATTCTTGTGTTTTTACTATCACTTAGGAAATGGAGCTTTTGGTAGAAATTCAAAGTCAAGAGAAAGATAAGTTTGGGGCTAGAGACTAGTTAGAGTGCATACATCAGTCAGGAGAGTAACTCTCTGAAAATAAAATTCAATGTTTTGAAACACTGAGACAAAACTGAGATAAAAAAGACACACAAATACTTAATTTCAAAATACTAAGCAATTCTCTAAARGAATCATCAAATCTAGCTGGCAGTGAACACAATGTAAGCTATCCTAAAATCACTCTGTATCCCCCAAGACCTTTGTCAATTCCCACGTCCACTCTTTAACTAAAGACAGCAATGAGCTGTAACGTTCCACTACCACACAGAAACATCTAATTTAGGTATATAAATTATTAATCATCACTGTCATTGTCATTACTTATGGGATAATAGCTGGCTGCTCCTTGGGTTCAGTTCAGCATAAGARCAGRCAAGTTATGTGTYGTCATACCTGCATAAGCACATGTGCTCTGAAAACAGGCTCCTCCTGTTAACTTACAGCTGACAAAGTTCTGGTTGCAACACCAYTCCTCAYCCATGGTGTTCAYCTTGAAATGTCATCATAATAAACAAACATTTTCTCTGGTTTGTTTCATAACCAGGAATTCATTGCTGAATCATTTCAGCTTCCCCTCACTGTAATCTGTTGCTTCTGCCATGCAATTATTGATTACAGCATAGGATATTCGGAGTTATGTTACCCACCTGTTTTGCATTGTTTGACACCTTGTTTGGAAGCACAGCTCACTGAGGCTTTGAGATCTGMCTTTGTCCTCAGTGGGTGTATTTCAGCTTCCCCTTTAGCTGGCACCTAAATAAGAATATTCAAGAGTTAACTGTGCATGGAAGCATCTCCCTTCCATACAACTATTCCCACTGACAGTGTACAGTTTTCCACCATCTTTCTTGGTGTAAATTACATCAAATTTTGTCATTTTATCTATCATGTTACTTCAGCTTAACTCAAAATGATGATATGAATCCCCATAAACTGTMGTTTGAATGCTATATACAATATAGACATGTATCAGAGCACATGGTGAATTTATTCCTTTTTGTTTTCCTTTTATGGCTTGCCAATAAGCAAGACCTTTAGTGTCACTTATTTGAAATGCAAAGTATGGTCTTTTTACAGAAAACGTGTGTGAAAGGTGTTACGGTGATTGAGACAAGCTGATGTCACAGGAAAAGTATATTCTTGTGAGCTTAAATAGGTGTGTGTCTTTCTATTCAAACTTGGGGCAAAAAAATGATGATACAGTGGTGCAGGACTGTGGTTTTAAAGTTGGATAACGCATGTGTGGAAAACTGAGGACCCACAAATGCCAGTTTACAGGTGTGAAATGGTAATCGGGGGATTCACTTTTTCAGGGAGGTGCATTTATGATCAGCGTCTGCCTTTTCGCTCCCATCCCGGCAAGCTGAAGAACAATAATTTATGAGAGAAATTAAGAAGTGTTTAACTTTGTACCTCCAGCGAAATAGCAGCAGAGAGCACTCGTTCCCTGAACTCGTTCCCGGGCGGTTCCCCCGGCGGGACGGAGCCTGCGGTGCCTCTCCGCTGGCCGGACCGGAGGAGGGTGGCRGGGCCGCCGATGTGACAGCAGCGACAGCAGCGGGATGTCCCGCCGAGGGAGCGGGCGCTGCCGCCCAAATGCTGCCCTGGGGAAGTCCCCCAGGCTTGGTCCCTGTGCCGCAGAGCCGGGTGGCCCCGCTGTATCCTGCACCCACCCGGCCGGGAAGCGCCGCCCGCCCGGCTCCGCTCCCCGCAGGTTCCCGGGCCGCCCCCGCACGGAGACAAGTCCTGGGGGCAGGAAGGGCAGGGCCAGGCGAGTCCCGATTCCTGCAGGTGGATGCGGGACAATCGAGAGCCGGCGGTGAGCGCGGGGGGACCGGGAGCAGGAAGGGGACGAAGGTGTCAGTGCTGGGGCAGGGCCGGGAGGGGACCAAGTGGCCGCAACCGCGGGGCGACGGGACGGGACGGGACGGGACGGGATGGATCGGCCGGGTCAGTGCGGGAGCTTCTTCACCTGAGCCTTTGCTGTCCCGTCCCAAGCACGGTAAAGGGAGTGGTGCTGCCTAATGCAGGGTGAAAACCAAGGCTTACAACTGCCAGGGCCAGGCTTTTCCCTGCGGCAGGTCAATTGCTGGCAAATGGGAATGTGTCGTGTGATTTCGGCCGGACGGCACTGGGAAATACACA